TCCTCATCACACCTGAACCTGCCTTCTAAATAAGCTCTTATTACTGATATGGTAAAGAAACGAGGAAGAAAAGTGCAAAAGGCACAAATTATTCTTGAAGGTCAGCAGAGGTTCAAGTGAGCTGAATGTTACCATGTTTAAGTTAGTGAAAGTGTTAAATGTTCCATTTTAAGAGAGACTAAAAGGCCAAAGCTATAGCCATTTCATTATTATTCTAGTAAAATGTATTGGATGTAAGGGGTATTGAGTTTAGATCTCCTGATAATCATAGTCAAAGAACTCTGCCTACCTTCACATAGTGTTCCAAGATTAATATGGTCTCATACAACTTATAACTTAGAAAGATTGCTTTGCTTTGTTGTAGTTGTTCTCCACTGTGCATACTCAAAAGTTGTAGCCCAAACAGGTTTACAAACAGAAGGTTTAATTTATCACAAATCTCAGCCTTAACACATAGAAACAGCATGGTTGGAAAATCTTGAGATCTTTCACCTAGTCGGAAATTAAGAACATTTAAAGAGCTATTTTTTTCTCTCATGTGGATGAGTGTTGTCACTGTTTAGCACTTCTTAAGCAATGGCCATTCATCTCTATTGCTTTTTAACTAGACACTATTTTCTGTACCTACTGTACAATGTTTATTCAATGTTTGACTCAGGGGTGCAAACTTGGAGGAAAAAAAAGAAGTGTAACACTGATTTAAACCTCAATGAGATCTACATCAAGTTGACAACTTTTTTTTTTTAATTGTTAGAATGCTCTATATTTTTTTCTATCATTTGATTAAGGAGTAAATATTTCCTAATGTATTGCACTAATGCATTTTGTATTTTTATAGCTTCAACTCCAGATCTCTTGTCTCCAAGTGGTACAATATTCCTTTTCCCAGTGTTCATCAGACTTTGGTTATACTATACACCAGTGGAAGCCATGCAGGAAACTATATCTACTAACATCAGCTGACCAAGCCGTTTGGCACTCAAAATTAGAGACAGTAATATTAGCTCTTTTAGAACAAATTGCTCCTTGGATTAGCTTCACTGTATTAGCTTTGCCACCTGCTGCCTGGCTCTCCTTCACAGTATCTATGCAACAAATCCTACCTAGGAGTACTAGATGGGATTTTTCTGCTGACAGGAAGAAACCCAAGGAGGTTTTGGTGCCACTAATGCTACCTCCCCTTTACCAGACATGTGATGCAAAGATAGCTTAGATGGTGTAAATTTGTGTGTTTAAAGAAATGTTCAGAACAATCGTCTTTGAAAACTTCTGTTTTCACATGCACATCTTCAGGCAGCTCTGATTGTAACATTTCACTGTGCAAACTTCAGCTCTGGCACGCACATAGCTTACATAAGAAAGTGTTTTTTAATTTACCTTTTCTTTAGTGTCAAACAAAATCGCAAGAGGTTGTATGTTAAAGCACCTGATCAGAGAGATTCTCCATAATGTCCTACCTGAATTTTTGGTTTGGTTTTAGATTTTGATTTCCGAAACTAGTTTGTGGCTTTTTAAATTAATAAGTTGAAGGATGGATTTCTAAACAAAAGAGAAGCTGAATTTGCAAAGCTGCAAGATCTGAAGGAGTGTGAAGGACCAGGAAGATGGCTAGCTTGGTAGACATGTGGTCCACAAAACCAAATGATCTGGCTGTGAAAATAAATCCAAGCATTGTGTTTGTACCATCTCCATAGAATGAAAGAATAGGAAGATTTCAAAACTCACAAAGAGTAAAAAAAAGTAAATAGTATCGAAATCCTCATCAGTCCTAATTGCCTGTGTGCAGCTTCTGGAAGAGTGAAAACAGTAAAAATAGATCTGTTTGAAGACCTGAGAAAATACAAGGTCTGTCTAAAAGAAGAGAATGAGATTCATTCTTATTCGAGGATGAATTTTGGAACAGAGAGAGATGCAAGTGAAAAGACAGGCGGACACTGAGAATAGCTGGAATCCATCCATTATCAGACATGACTGCAAGGAAAGGTTTCATGCCTAATTATTACTTCCTGTTATTCAGAACACTAAATTAATACATAAAAGTAGGTAGTTCTGCTCCTTTATGCTTGATGTCTGGGAGGTGGCTAAATCCAAGGAGGAAAGCCCTGTTCCTTCCATGCCAAAGCTCCTAATGCCTCTCAGATAGCAGATTTCTTTTCACTGTTGCAGAACTGCTTTAATGTATTTAGCACCCGCCGTGAATTTTAGGTTGTGCTGCCATATGTTTTTATTGGAAGCAGATGACGTCAGAGACACAATGCCTGGGTAGTGTGTGTGATGGGGGTGTTGTTTATGTGTTCAGTTTTCCTAGCTTATGGAGCAGTTTTTCAGTACAGAAGAGCAATCACTTAGTGTATGCTGATCCAAATGAAGGAAAAAAAAATGCGTTGGAAAAGCTAATTTTGAGGAATAACTGTGCTTTCTTACACCTCTGTTGCATGAAGCAAAATCAAAATCATACTGAATTTTGAGCTTCCTGGCAGTTTTTAATTCAGCAGGCAACTGTAGAGCAAGCAAAGAGTAGACTCACACCCTCAGCAATGCTTCTGCAGAGGATCACTTAGATACAAGCACTGTGTGCTGGGGATTTCCTCTGTGCTGCCTTTCCTTTTTAGCAAGGACAACACTACTTTTAATTGGTTGATTTCTAGTGAAAAGTTCCCCAAATATAGGGTCTGTCAAGAACATTATCAGCGCACTCTCATCTAATTATCTCTCACCTCTTTTACCTTTGATTGCCTATTTTAATTGACTCACTTCAAGGCTGTAAAATGGAAGAGTCCCTTCAGTAGTAATGGCTTACCAAACCCCAAATATTTTATGGATAACAGTTTTCATTGGAGGAACTGAAAACTCAGATGGGGACTCGTTCAAATGTCTATCTTAAGTCTTTGGCAGCGAGTCCAAAAATGAGCAGGGTGGTGGGACTATACAGAGCATATGCTCTAAATTAGTGCCCATGCAGAGACACTCCTCAGTGCCTGGAGATCAAGAATTGGGCGATGGGGATTGTCAGGGGACAGCCTTGCGTTTTGAGCCAAATGATTTGTTAAAACATTGGCGAAGCATCTGAATGAATGGGTAGATTGAGAAGCAGCTTACCTTCCACACCAAATTTGCTTTCAAAGAATGGTGCTGTCTAACTTCCAAATGTATTGATGATCAACTGGGCTTCAAAGGGGATCAGACTCCCTGAACTGGTGGTGCCTTCAGAGTTCCCGGTGACCCTCTTGCATCAAATTAGATATAGGCAGAACTCCTTCCCGCATTTGTGGAAAAAAAACCTTAATAACTGAAAGTGCTACATTTCCTAACCGTCACTCTTTTGAAAGATCTTAGTTCTGTATTAAATATTTTTTGTTGTTTTAGTTCTTTTGTGGGTTTTTTTTTTTTAAGTATTGGAAGTTCTGGTTTAAAAAGAAACAACTTCTAGAAGGGATGCAAACAAAAGGGATTGTGTCCAAAACTACCCTTTCTCTTAACTCAGTGTTTGATCAGTGTTCGGACACAAAGGGTGTTACTGTCAAGCAATGACTTTCTGAAGCAAATCTTCAGGGCTGCTGCTTTTTATTTTTGAGCCATGCCTGTCATATGTGACAGTTTTTTTTTTTTTTTAATGGGTTCTTACACTGCTCACTTCATGCATGGAGCATCAGTCACATTGGATGTAACAGCGTGCGCTCTCCTGTTCACTGTGTTCTTGTTTTACCCGACTGACAGATGATGGGTTCTGGGGTCTTGGGTTGTGTGTTGAGTACTGAGTTGTGGATACGAATGCGATATACCTCACAACTACTAGCTAATATATCATCACAAGGAGTAAGCTAATGTTCCAGGCAGGCAGTGAATTATTGCCCCTGCTATGTGATGGCTGCATGTGCAAACTTAGGACCTAGTGACTGCCATTTCCTGCCATAGCTGCCTTTATTATTTGTAGTTGCTACTTTCATGGATGAACCATGTCCAAAGGGAGCCAGGACCTGTGTTTTCCGTCAAGGCACAGTGGCAAATGTAGCGTGTTTCTTCATCTTTGCTTTATGTGGGGGACCAGAGCTTTCCTTTGTTGGGAACATGAAAGCAGGGAATTCCTGAAAGAGCTTCAGGCTGCTCTGAAGAGGCAACTTCAAGCCTTTTTTATTTTGTGTGTGTGTGTTTAAATTCAAATGGATGAAATTGGAGCTTAGGGCTGTGGGGTTCCCTATGATGTTGTCCTTGCATGTGACACTCAGTTGAATGTGAAAATTGCTTGTCCAGGATAATGGCAGAAATGTGAGCAACTGGATACATTGGAGGTATAAGTTGTTTGGAAATCACTATTAAAAAGAAATGAGAAATAGTGTGCTCTATTTTTAGAGTTTATTTCATTGTAAATAAAATATTTGCACCTGTAAGTAGATGGAAATATAGTAAAAGAATTTGAAATACTTACAAAAAATGTGAGTAATATTTGATGAACCAGTTACTAACAAGGCTCTGTGTACCATAAATTTATTAGAAGTTTCCCATGTAAATAGCATCCTCTGTGCCACCACGGACTTTGATGAAGTCTTCAAATGGCACTGATATTTTTAACACTACAAAAGGTCATAGCCCCTTATGTGAATATGTGCTTACATCCATATGTGCCTAGGTGGGTTTTGCAGAAGAAGTTGGCTTGCAGCTCTCAGACCAATTTTTCAGATCCCTGTACTTGAGTGTACTTGTGGAGTCTCCTTCTCTGGAGATCTTCCAAACCCGCTTGGACACAGTCCTGTGCCACGTGCTCTAGGTGACCCTGTGTGTGCAGGGGGGTTGGACTAGATGATCTCTAGAGGTCCCTTCCAACCTTCAGCATTCTATGATTCTCTGATTCTATGATACTTTAACCTACTGAGGCGACAAGGAAAAAGCTGTCATCCACACTCCTTTCAACAGGCTCCACTGAGGCTTGTGCTGTTATGCATTAACCAGTGACTTGTGTGATTAATGTTTAGAGATACTGTTGGCGCTTTTGGGGCCTTGCTGTTGGCTTTCTCTTTGGCTTCTGCAGAGCAAACATGGAAACACAATCCCAGACCTCAGAATGCCAAACACAGGTTCAGAAATGTTGGAGCGTTTAAAGGATGCATATCCTCATTCTTAGGCCAGTCGTAAGTTTTTAGCTCTCTTCCTAAAAGCTGGAAAACAGTTTCTTCAATAACAAGTTGATTTCCCTCTGCCCTCCTTATATAACTCTGGATTTCCCCCAGTGTTTCTAAGATAGCCAGTGTTTGTTTCCTTTTTGCGTGTTACACAAACAAATCTCAGATGATATTGGCAGGCTTTTCTGTAACTTTGCAAGTTGTCCCAGGGTGCATAACAATACTTTTCCCCCACAAGAATGTCTATTAATTTCTTTCACTTTTGCACCAAAAAAAAGCCTGTGGAGAGGTCTTTCATTTTGCAGAAGAGCAGCTCCGCTTCCCAGGGATGGAGAGCTGGAGTGATGGCCAGGTGCCTGGGAGCCAGCTCCGATGGAAACACAGGCAGGACTTGCAGCAATGCACCAACTGTCACGAGTTTCAGTGCCTGTGCAATGGAGCTAGTGCAAAATGTGGTACCCAGAGAGTAAAACTTATCCAGACAGTAAATGGAATGGAAATATTCTTTCTTTGGCTATTCAGGCTGATGAAAAACTGGAAAAATAAATAGCTTAAATGGGCAAAATAAATAGAAATTGGTGAGAGCTCTCACTTTTAAGTACTAACACAATAAAAAAATAAAAATTTTAGAACTTTGCCTTGACAGATTGTCCGTAGTGTGATTTGAGTGACTTCTTAAGTTGAACAGCATTTTATGCTTCATAGTGTGTTGGAAAAGGTTGTAAAGGAGGGAATAGTAAAAATAAGATAGCTGACTCTCATCTGAAATCCCACTCAAAGATCAGAGTAATTTAATCTTTGATCCTGTTGTGATGCACAAAGCAGTGAAGTTGGTGGAGTCATACAGGTTACCTGGAAAAAATTGCGTTGTACTGAAATGCTGTAACTTGTAAAATATATACTGTGAACAGGTTCCATTTTTTTTAGCTCTCACTTTTTATACCATATTTTTTACGGTGTAAAATGATTTGTTTAGAGGTGTTTTATGTTCTGTTTTTACAAAAAATTTAATGGACTTTTGTTCAATACTGGTGGAAGTATTGTTTGCCCGTTTGCAATGGTTGTTATACAAATTAGTTCTGAGAATAAACAGTAAATCAAACTGACAAAATAGTCATCCTAACACACTAAATCTAATCAGCCATTTCTCATACTTCTGTTGCTGAACAATATGAAGCGGTCCAGTTTCCAAATCCGTTATTGGAAAAGACATTTCTTTTGTAAGTTAAGCAAAATGATCACAAGGCACTTTAATGAAGTTGTAGCATACCAACTAAAATACTGATTCAACAAAATGTATCAGCAAGCAAATTTATTAGCTAAACAATTAGTCAAATGCATGCTTGAAAAAGGAAGTGTTATGTTGGAGAAATAATATTCCAA